GTCATGGTCTCATGACCGTATATCCTACGTCAAAGTCTTGGCCACCAGTAGCCCTCGACTGGCCTCGGCTAGTGCTCGTCGACTGATCAATCGGGGTTATGAGTACAAAGAGTACAACATGTATAGTACTTTCAAGGCAACAGCCTCACTTCGCGCTCAGAGGTAGGTGTGCGCTCGTAGTAGTGAATCCCGGCAGTGGGCGAACAAGTGGACTTCGTGGTAGAGTCCAACGTCTTGAAGTGGCCGAATTGCTCCTGTGGCAGGTATTGGTTTCTCTGTATGTGATGTGCGCGAAAGAGAACTACTACTCACACTACCCAACACGTGGTGGAAGTACCAAACTTCCTGAAGAACGGTACCGTTTTGCCCGCATCCAAGGTAGGGGATCGCACCCGTTTGTGCCTTCAGGGCAGACTGAATCTGGTTGAGCGAGTACGTCGTACGATTGGAGGGTAGGATACCGGAGCTATTGAGGGCACGACAAATCCCGGTAAGCAAGCTGGCCATCATCCTTATTAGTGACACCTACGCGGCGAGCATCTCCCAGGTAGGGTACATCTTGAACGCACGGACGACGGCATCAAAGAAGTCGACCACGTCCTGGTTCTTCTTGTAATCTGGACCGTAGCATGCAACGTCGAAGGTTGACGTGCAGGTAGCATGTTTGGCGAACTAAGGCAAAGGCAGCTTCAGACGTCTACGCCTTCTCTTGGGCGGAGACCTGCACACACCTCATGTCCCCAGAAATCGCTGTTGGGGCTACCCTGGCTTACCCAGTACTTGTTCACTTTGGAACGACAATTAGCTCTGTTATCGCGGTGGGGTTACGGCCTACATACTGAAGCTAAGCAGGTCAAGGCGACCGAACTCCGCGATGAAGACATCGACACCTGGACCCTTGTACGGGGGCACAGGCGTTCCATTGGGGAGCACCTTCGGAGACGGGTCAGGATCATACTGCCGCGACAAGTCGCAGTATTGGTCGAAAGACCTGTAACGTGTCGTCAGATTGTGCTCGCCGCCATCGGTCCACTTACTAACCCGTCGCAGTTATCCGGCCACAGACCATGGATGGTCCAGCTGTTCTTGGGGAGCAGCTGGCCCTTGTGCTCGAGCCCAGTGTGGGTGTCCCAGAACTGCGTCTGGAGCACAAGACCACCAGGAGTAGGAGAACAGCAAGTGTTCCTGATCGCGGTCGTGTTCTCGCAGGAGTACGTGATTTGCTCGTTCGCACACGCGGAGATGTTGGGAAACGTGCGCGGAAGCGAGAAGAACGACGACGCGCTCGCACCGGCCTGGAGGGCGAGCAAGGCAGAGACGAGACCGAACGCGGTAGCCATGCGAGAGCCTGTGCGAGTGTAGTGCTCCAATGCGCGGTGGGCGGACAACAATGTCCCGTCCCCGACGGCCAATTATATACTGTGAGAGAGGAGCGAAGAGCCGGAGGACGTGACGAACGTGCTATCTTGCCGCCCTCGATAGAGCGCGGAGATCCGCATGGTGCGCGTCGCCGAGCACGCGCATCAACCAACGGGGGACAGCCATCAAAAAGGACAGCGTCGGTGCTGTTTGTGGTGGCGGGACTCAGACGAAGGTGCCTGAGGTGTGCATGCATGTGAACGCGCGCGAGATAGCGCGCGTGCGTCGCGCACGCGGGGGTATTGAATGTGGATGGTATCGGCGCCCATGGGAAATGTATTGGTATGTACGTTCGTCCTTCGCGTTCTACAGGTTACGGACAGGAGAGTTGATAACTCTTCGACCGAGACAGCCGTGGTCACGCTCCCTAGCGAAGGTTACATATTATTGCTTCCACCGGTATACACTGATCCCGTGGCTGGCGGAGTATTCAATAGGCATCGCGGCCGGACTTGATGATGGGCGACCGACGACCGTTCCCGTGTGCATGCACGTATTATGAGCGACCGCCATGACAGGGGGCGTCAGGGGTTCGATGTTCGATTTGCGGTGGGCCTCGACATACTTAGATCGACGAGAATGACTGGCAGACGAACGTGCCCATGCCTGCGACAATGACGGATGTTTAGTGAGGAGGCACAGATAGCGTCAAGCACGACACTCGGGGGCGAATATCTATAGCCGGTGTTCGTATTCTGCGGTGACGAGGGTACATGAGCAGACAACATGTGAGTCAACATGCGAGATCTACGCCAGCGGACTTTCAGATTACAGAGATGGCCATCACGAGCAGTCACCAGCGCACGAGAGAACATACAGACACGACAGAAGTCGAGCGAACGGGGCGTCGTATGCACCAGTGAGCCTAAGAGAGCAGAGCAGGAGCTGAAGGTCCGATCTTTGAGTCAAGAGCCAGAGTGACACCGAAGGCGGGCCAAAAAAGCAGAGTGGAGGCGGTTCAAGACTTGCAGACAGCAGACATCAGACATCGGCCCATCCTCCTTCGTCGAGCTTGTATGAAGCCTCGCTTTCGGGCCTGTCCGGGCTGTCGACTAGCTTGGCCACACGCTCCTCGGCGCGACCTGTATGTTGGGGCGATGTGAGATGGGATACTGATCCGTCAATGAGACCCTTGCCTTTTCTGAGATACATCCTGGTAGCAGATGCGTGGGAGAGAATATGGCCACCTATGGGTTTGAGGGCTCCTCCAGCCACGAATGTCATTGTTGCCCCGGGATCGGCTAAGGGTGCAGTTAGCGGTGAGATGAGAGTGTCCTTCGGAGCTTCGGGGCGTACATTGAACTTGATTCGTGAGCAGGATGGCAATCTATGATTTGGTGCATTAGTAGCGTCCGTGCGTCCATATAGTTCACCTACATTGTACTCCTCCGAGAGCTTGCTTAGCTTAGACAGCATCTGTCACATATGATCAGTTCTAACCTACCGCAAGTGTGCGGAGGATAACGAGAACGTGCCTGGGCGAGCTAGAACAATCACATGAGCGAGGCTCGGATGAACGTGAGAGCAACGGCCTCTGACCTTTTGTTGGCGTTCACTGAGCTCTCCTCTGCCAGAGTAGTCCGCCCTGAAAAGGGCCATGATGCTGTCCACGATCTTCGAGAATTGTATCATCCTCGAGACAATACACTAGCTGTACTCACTAGCAGCCTGAAGTCCTTGTCCTCTGCGAATCGAATGGAACATTCGTTGATCAATTCCATCTATCCTACATTGTCAGTCGACGTTCGACCAGCGACATGATGGACTCACTTGATGCTCGCTGTTGTGAGCCCGAGCTGCTCGACCAGGTCAGTGCCGACACTAAACTTCTCGGCTGGGTACGTAACAGACCATAGAGGATATTCTCAAGAGCCATGTCTCCGTCAACTGGATGCGCAATGAGGATTGATGGATGGACAGGTGCGAACACTACCATACCTCCAAACCGGTCCGCAATGGAACGAATCCGATCCGGTCTAAAGGTGCCCTCCGTGTCGATATATGCAACCTAGCCAGCACCATGAGCGCATTTCCCGGGACATGTGTCCTACACCGACCTTTCCGGATGCCCCGCCCATATCCGGGGGCAGTTGGGCCACGACACTCATAGTGTGTGCGAGTTGAGTCTTTCCCGTTCTGAACTCGCCATACACTTCGGTTATAGATTGCGACATGATTCCCCCTAGATGGTGGCGGGTGTTGTCAGCGAGGACTATGATGGCAGGGTCTCCAAGGCTTACCGCCAAGGGCGGTGTCCACGGCTTTGCTACCAGTGCTCACCACTAGGACACGCTTCCGCTTCTCTTGGACCTCAAGACCGGTAGCGAAAGAGGAGCCCTGGTCGAAGTCTTAGCTGTATATATGCAAGCGGTAAAGCATACGCTACCAAAATCTTGTGGGCCGCCTCCTAAAGGCGCATATATTCAGTATGTGAGACACTATTGAGGAGGCCGGCAGCTTGCCTTGATTTTCTCTACTTTGGCCTCAGACATGCCCTGGGAGACTAGGTCAGTCACGGCTTACGGGTATATGCGGTTCCTTACCTTGATTTTCAGCATCTGACGCCTCGTGGTCATATTTACGCCTGATACTGTGTTGATAGAAGCAGACTGATGATAGCACGGAAGGGTTTCAATGGGGGTGCTCGATGTTCGTGCGAACGATTCTACCTTGAGTTTGAGAATGTCTTGGACATTGATTCCCTGGAGAGAAGGCGTAAGAGGAAACAAATATGCCAAGGGCCGAGTCCTACATGTTGCTGGAGCTCGTCAACGCTGTCAAAGTAGGGTCCCTGAAAGAGAGGTCATTATATGCTGCAGGCGATGATGCGTACTGTGTACCTCATCTACATCGTCTCCAGTGGGAGTGGAGGGGCGGGATGGTACAGGCGCAGATTGAGACTGAGCGCGGCGGACCATGATGTGCAGGAGTAAGCGCGAGAGCTAAGGGTGCGATGGTGATGGTAAGGAGGCAAGGCGGGGATCCGACCATCCTCGCCACCTTTCCCGATCGCGACTCGCAAGCAACGCGCGACGCGACTGCCCACGTGATCGCCCCTGTATGTACACTCTGAGTCTCAACTTGTTGGGTGTGGGCGGTTCCCGCGTGTCCGATTCCACTGATTCATTGACGGCACAAATCCCGCCTGTCTCTGGATTCAACACTACTCTGTGTTATGGTGAACGTTGTACTGCTCCCAACAGCCAATTACACATCGGTTAAGTGACGTCTCCAGCACAGCAGAGAGCTACGAAGTACAAGAGCATGAGGTAGAGAAAAGCAGGATGAAGAGACGCTCGTGGGGCGAGCGCGGGAGGGGACGGCGGGCCGTGGACGGACTTCGCGTGAGCCAATGAAGGAGCTCGGGGGATAGCCAATGGCAGTGGAGAACGGTGCGACTGGCCGCTTAGTCAGCACAGGCTTGAGCTCCGGTATAGAGCCCGATTCCCAAGTGGAATCGGAATGCTTGGAACCTATGCATAAAGACAACCTAGATGCTTATGCTAATGCTAAGTAAGGGTTGGTACCGAGGCGTTGCATATGTGTATGCAGAAAAGAGAGTAGAGGGGAAGCCCAAAAAATGCCAGGAGCGTGGATTGAACACGCGACCTCCAGAACACTTACTAAGCGCTTCAGTCTGTTGCTCTCCCAGCTGAGCTATCCCGGCTCGTGTTCTTTTCTCTCGTCAAAGCGACACGTCCATAGGCCGTCTGACGGTATTCGTTCAAGCGTCGTGGGGAATGGCCAGGACAGATCTGAAGTGAACCAGCAGTACACTGGAGTTACAAAAGAATAAGTATCAAGAACCGAACGAGCCGTGCCTTCATGCCCCGATGATTGCCCCGTCTGGTCCCACCTCGAAGTCGTCCTTCCCAACGTCGTCGATGTTACCGACGATTTCCACACCCGCCTCGTGTGCACTCGGTGTTCTACTCTTCTTCCTGACTACCTTGGGCGACGGTGGTGCGGGTGCGTCGGTTGTAGTACCCAGCTCTGTCGAACGCAGCGAAGTTGGTGCCCGGATTTCAGGGGTGGGGCCGGAAAAGTCCTTGCCCGTCATACGAGACAACGTTGCTATGTCTACGATGAAGACGATCAACAACGCTATGACTAAACGCGAGAACGCCCATGTTACCGTATGGCCTCCGATTCTTAAGACAATACGTAATACGCGCGGGATTCTTCTTATCCTCGGCTTTGAACTTGTTTTTGCATGCCTTCCGATCCCGTCCCGGTAGCACGTACGATATGAGTTCGTAGTTTTCGCCGAACTGCGACAGGGCCTGTACCGATGCGAACATGAGAAGGTAGACGCATGAAATAAACTGCTGTACGCACATCGTAGAACAGCTCAGTCTCTTCGGCACTCCAACGAGAACCCCGTAGCTTCTTGCTATACGTAGCCGAGTTGACGAACTTGGTAAAGTCAGACTCCTCGACGTGGGTATAGTCCTCAGTCGCATGCTCTTCGTCGCGACTGACGAAGAGCGATTGCTCGTCGATGATGGTTTCGCCGTTCGCGCCTATGCGGACCTGGACGTTGAAGCGGCTGACTGCCATGTCCTCGCTATAATCGAACCCGTCCTTCTCAGCCGACTCCGCCCCTTCTGCGGCTGAGGCAGACGCGTCCGGATCCAACGCAACCGACCCAGAACGCGATGCGGAGCCCGGCACTTCCGGCTCGGAGGAGGCTGCTTTTTGGACCGCGCTCTGGGTCGTGCCATCCTCCTCGTCCTCTATATTCCTGCCGTACTTCTTCGCCTCCATTGCCGCCTTCATGCGAGCCCGTTTCTCCCGGTTCGCTGCTCTCCAAGCCGCATGGTTGCTGACAATCTGGGCCGCTTTACTGCTCACTCGGCCTCGCCCGTTGTCGTCACAGAGGGCAGCCATTGTGACCGCCGTTGGGTCAAGCTCCTCGCCCGGGTCTGCATCTGGGTCGAAAGGCGGTGGGGAGGGCGCGCGTTTCCGCGAACGGCGGGGCTCTGCATTCTCGGAACGTTTGCGTTTCTTTGCTCCAGACTGGGAGGCATTCTCTTCTTCTTCCGCGTTCGCCTTCTTCGAACGCCTCTTCTTAGGAGGTGGGGTGTCGTCCTCAGCATTGTCTTCTGTGATAAACAACGATATGAGAGATTGTATCGAGATAGATGGAGGGCACACGCACGATTCCCTTCTTCCGTGGCATTCTCTCCAGCGGCATCGAGTTTCTTTCGCTGAGAGCGGCGGGTACTGTCAACTTTGACAGCGGGAGCGTCGTCGAGGACAACTGTGGGCCCTTGTACAGCAGGAGGCGGGCTGGAGGATTCCGCTTGAAATTGCGGAGGAGCCATACCAGCGAATCCAGAGGGTCCCATTAGCTGTGGGTCAATCTGGGAGGAGTCGATAGTATACGACATGGGAGGCGGAGCACCAGACAGCATAGAAAGGTCCAGTGGGGAGAACGATGATTGTGTGTGTGCATGGTTCGGTTGGCCCATGGCATCGTTAGAAGTAGTAGGCCTAGTAGGCACGATAGGCGTATGTGCCGGCGGCGGAGCGGGTGCACGGATCATATTGCGCGAAGGCATCGATATTGCGACTCCGGATGGGGAATGAGCAGGGTTTGGTTGGGATGTTCCGATCCGAGGCGGCATCCTCGAGGGTGGGAGTATCGTTCGCATGGGAGGAGGCTGAACGGAGGTTGTACTTGGCACTGCAGACGGAATCGGCTGCGAAGATGACGGCTCACTCGAAGTAGTCAAAGCGCCATGTGGGGCAAGATTTGTAGAGCTATGTACGGAGAATGGTTCGGGTGGAGGTCGCTGAGGGATGGAGGCGGGAGGAGGCATGGCGGACTGTGCCCGGGAATGAGCACCATCCTGCGAACTAGCGTTGCTCGGCCCTGGGGTCGAGGAGGGCTCAGGTAGGGCGGATGATTGTCGGGAGTCCCCACCAGCTCGCGGGCGAGGTTTCGCAACAGGTCTAAAGACCGTGTTCCCTTTCTCTACAAGTCTGACGATTTAGGCGGCGAGTACGAGACAAAAGCCACAGTCACTCACGGACGCGTTGTGACATTGGGGAAACGCGCAGAATGACAAGCACCGAGGAAGAGCTATTCCGAAGTGCACGAGTGGGTGATTCGTGGGTCAGTAAGACTTTGTTGGAGGTAAGCGGACGCCAGGCAGTACAAGCTCGAGCGAGAGGTGCAGGCGGGACTGGTCGAAGATGCGCAATGGGCGCCTATGAGACGGTGTTCTCTTGCTCCGCGGCCACCACCATCTGCAGTATATACTTGACCCGCGCTCGACTCTCTGTTAGACTGGGCAGCTCGCACCCTCAAACGAAGATAGCGCAAAATACAACTGGGGCTTCTGTTGCGCTCAAGAGGGCTACTATGTTCCGCTCTGTTCAGTTACCCACGGTCACACAGCCCGGAGGGGAGCTCAGTGAGCCACAGGCTAAGGCTTCGGGTCCGGGTCTCAAGAGCGTGTCGGAAAGGTTCGTCAGAGCTCATATTGCCATATACAAATGTTCATGATCCTCGCCAATAGTCTTGTAGTATTGCAGTCTTTGAGACAGTGTAAGCTTGACGCTCCTCACGAAATCCGTGCACCCGTACTCACCTGCCAAAAGCACGTAATAGATGGCTCTCTAGCATGTTCCCAAAATTCTCAGTGAAAACACGTGGTGGAAGAGCTACGGATGTGATACCGCCTCCTCATACAACCAAGGCTCACGGGAAGTTCGATCTACATATCGGCCCACATGTGTTCTACGACACTGCGTTCTATGAGGTGCACTACCTTCCCGTCATCGAACCCCCGCCTGAGGATCCCCAGAGTAAGTGTACAGCTCATCGAGTCAAGTGTGAAGCCAACAGGCAATCATAGATACACATGCATCGTTAGCCAGTCAACCAGGAAGCTCTGGTGACTCTGCAGTTCAAGCTTCTTTGGCGTCCATACCCTTCCCGACTGGTACCTACGTGACGCCTGCGCTTTCCACCAAGGTCTCTGCGGCTGCTCATACCAACCCGGTGCTCGCAAATCTGTTGAAAGCGGTGATCAACCGCACTGCTACTGACGACCAAGTGAAAACACTCGGCCTCCTCATACAGTCACTAGATGGTGTGCGCTCGCTGGACCAACCTGGCGCTGCCTCTGCAGGTGAAGCTGCTGTCCCAGTCTCACCCCGATCATCCTCGCCTAGGCCATTTGACGTAGTCCTCGAATTCCATGAACGCCCTTCCGAGCGTTTCGTATTCCCCCGCGGCGACATTGTTTGTGAATTAGCGACCCCGAAGGCGGAGTCAGCCTACAGGTCGTCGGACATGGTAATCGCTTGCAGCGTACCTTTCCCCGGAGCCCCCGTCCCAGAACCGACATCACAGACGGCCAACCCTCCGGAGGTCATCGTTCCAGAGGTTGTCACTTTTCGGCTGTCGCGGGTCTCCCAAGCGCTTTGGGAACTGATGTACACCTGGGCGGGAGGCCCGCAGAAGATAGAGGAAAGCAGGGCGAGACTCGCAGGACTCGTAAGTTCTCATGTCTGGGTCTCCTGCATGCTCTCAAGTGTATATCTGCGGTAATCTTCTAGGCGAGGCAAGCAGCTCCTCGCGTGTTCCTACAACACCGCATCGCGGAGGGAGAGCTATTGGAAGAGATCAGAAGCGTAGGCTGTCTACGCTCTATACTTACAACCTGCTACGCCCTGACCGCGCGTTTCAGGCTGTCGCTCCGCCGTACACACTGAAGCCTGTCAAACCGCCAGGTGCCGATAGCAACCGATCGAAACGAAAGTCTGTTTCCCGCAGGGCCACGGTGTCAACAACCACCAAGACCATCTCGAGGACCACCTCGGCCGCGGCGACGCCAGCAACCCCAGCACCGAAACCGGCACCACCGCCATCTTCACATCGGACTCCAGCGCCGGTTTCCGCTCAAGCCTCAACCCCCTTCGCACCTCCACCTCTGCCGGCCCCAACCTCGCCATACGCGTCTACCTCCGCGCGGATGCCACCGCCCGTTGCTCTACCCCCACCTCCGGCGTCCCCGTCCGCCATGGCACCACCGCCGCACGCGCGAGCTCCTTCCCCAACCCCGACGCTGACGCCAGAAGGCACGTACCACCTTCCGGAGAGGCCGCCATTCGTGAAGCGACGTAGTCACAAGGCCAAGGCCCCGCCGCCGCCACCCATCGCTTGTCATTCTTGCGGTCAGACGGATGTGCCGTTGATGATGGGCGGGAGTAAGCATAACGGGACCCTCCACAGACCCCCCTCCCTCCTGCTGACCCCCTTGCGTTCAGGATTTTGTCGCGAATGTATCAACGCAGGCAAAGCGAACGCGGAGATCCCTCAGGTGCAGCCCGCCAGATCGCACGGAACTAGACCCGGCACGCACGTCTGGAACGCGAACCTACACGACTCTACTCCAGGCCCTTCCTCTTCGTACGCGGTGCAATTCGTCTCCGAGACCGGGACGTCCACGCCGACGAGGTCTACGACTTACCAGCAACAGACGCAGCCTTATTACCGGTCACCGCAGCCACCCGGGCAGTGACACCAACGGTCGGTACGATCCTCGAACATGTACTTCTATACCGTACTACCCGGGTCGTTGTACAATAACCAATAGTATAATGATACAAGCAGAGCAGAGCAGGCGACCAGAACGAAACGAACCGAACCGA